CAAATAAATCCTCGTCACCATTATTATTTCAAGTATTTAAAAATTGATCAATTGAAATTTGAAAAGATATAGGAGATAATTTATGAAGGGTGAATGTTTACCAGTAAAAATGGGACATCCATTTGGCTGCGATTGCCCTTATAATCACTGGTCACCCTTCAAAAATCATTACTGATATGGTGGTCAGGTTTGTAGCCCATAATCCAGTAGTAGTGCTACTTGCTATAACATGGAGAAATTTAGTTCAAGTTGGATATTGCCTGGATTTGATTGATTTGGTATGGACACACACGCGCTCATATATTTATAAATATATATAAATACAGATATGTACTAATCGAATACTAAGGAAATTTGGAAACAAATTTGACATATTACTAATAGCAGCAACAGAAGAAGAAGAAGAAAATCGAAAATGTCTGGAGATGATGATGATGATAATAATAGACTAAATGAAGCAAAGGAACTTCAAAACGATGAAATCTTGGCACTTCAAGCTATTTATGGTGATGAATCAATCAAGTTAATAACAAGTCAAAACATACAACAGCAAAAAGAGCGGGATCAATCGATATCATATATATTGACAATACCACTTGATGATATGATGGCCAAAATCACGATACAGATCTATTATCCATTACTGTATCCACTTGATGGGATTGATTCAATTCCAGTTTATCAGATTCTGGAAACGATCGATGCCAATGTACCTTCTGCAACCAGAAATACAGATCCAGGGAAGATGCCGAGGAGTATGATATATCCCGAACGTAAATTGATTATAACCAACGAAATGTCAACTAAAATCCACGAGATCCTGGTGGATTTGATGGAAAACAGTTGTGGAAGTGTTGTGTTGTTTGAATGGATTTCACAGATTTGCAGTGATGTTTTCGAAACAGAGTGGCCGAAGCCATTAGGTCCCATCATTCCTATCCAGGATGATATTGTCAATACAGACTTGGAGAAATTAACTATTATTGGGAATAGCGATGAGGATGAGGATGATGATCAGGACCACAACAGGGATAGACAGAAATCTAACTCGCATCCGCCAAAAGCAATCACTCCGCAGCATTCTGCGTCAATGACAGACATCACCAAACAACTTGAACAAGATCTGGGGTTGATCTTAACTACCGGGCCAGAAATAGTTGACAGAAAAAGTGTATTCGTCGGGCATGTTGTAGGTAATCTAAATACTGATTCAAAACACGTACTTGCCAAGATTAATGGTCTGTTGTTGTCCAATAATAAGATTGCAAAAGCCACACACAATGTCGTGGCGTATCGGATCGAATTGCCACAGACAAAGGGCCATAATGAGGGTAGCGTAATCTCCCAGGATTGTGACGATGATGGTGAAACGGCAGCTGGCAGCAGACTATTGCATTTGTTACAATTGCTTGAAGTCAAGAACGTGATGGTGGTGGTTAGTCGTTGGTATGGGGGTGTCAAGTTGGGGCCTGATCGGTTTAAGCATATCAATAATGCGGCTAGACAGGCGCTGATCGTATCCGGACATCTGTCTAATGAAAGCGGCAGTGGTGGTGGAAGTTCTAAAGGATCTGGGAAAAAGAAAAAATAGTGCCATGAGTATTTTGAATAGAGAGTGCAGCGTTTTCTTTGTTTTCACCACTTATTTGCCTGTTGTAATTGTCTAATAATGGCTATTCTGAATTACATGGACATACTAAGGCTTGACAAATTTAGAGACTACAATTAAAAACCACCAGCATTATTATTAGTTATAGCAGTAGCAGAAGTAGTAGAAAGGGTGTGTGTGTGTGTGTGCGCGCATGGCAATAAGAACAAAAGCGGATCGCAAAAGAGGTCCGAAAAATAAAATAAAACGCACACACACAGAACACAAAAAAGAGAACGCAGAATGTCTAAACCAGCTAGTTGTTAAAGTTCAAAAGAGGTTTCCAGGCATTCAGTAAAGTCGGCAGCAAATCAGGGTTCCTGACAGCAACTCTAATATATGTGTGATGCTGATATCCAGGAGTACCGCTTCTAACAGGCATACCTACAGACTGAGAAAGCCTAACTGCCTCCTTGGCAACCTCAGCCGAATTGGTATCAACCCAAATCCACGAAGTAAAATCTCTGCCATGGCATTCCCAACTTGGGAACATTTCCTTAATCTTGTCAACAGTGTGCTGGCGCCAAAGGGGGGTAATCTTCCATGTCTCTTCCAAATACTCCATATCATTTGCGGCCGAATCCAAGAAAGCCAGAGCGGACATGTTAACTGACCAGGGGACCTGAATGGACTTGAGTTTTTGGGCATGATCTTCGGCAGTTGGGCAAATTACTGAGCCCAATCTGAGACCACAGCAACTCCATAATTTCGTCCAAGAGTGGATGACGAATACGGAAATCCCGGTAGTCTTGTAGAGGTCTTCAATGTATGATCTTTGGGAGATTAAAGAGTCTTTGCGGAAGTCAGGGGAGTGCCATGGCTGCATGGATTCGTCAACCAGAACAAAGCCGCCGGGAAGAACGTTGGATTCGATCCACTGTTTTACCTCGGAGATTGTAAGATAGTCGCCGGTAGGATTACAGGGGTTTACCAGACAGATGATGTTAGCCTTTTCAGGGGAGTCTGGAGCCAAGAGTTTGTAGTTGTAGTTTTTGGCGGATCTTTCATATTCTTTGTACTAGATGGATAGAAATATGGAGTGAGTTTTGATGTGTTAATAGGGGTGGTGGTAGGATGACTGTATCGGGAATGTGAGGCGGACTGTTTTTAATAAGTGTGGCGTTATCAACAGGACGTAAATGTAAAACAACGGCAGTAACAAATGTGAATGTGGACCCATGGTTCAGTGTGAATGAAAGACTGTGTGTGACTGCTACTATCCCCAACATAGTAATGGTTTTGTTCCACGCACCGAATCAATCAGCCATGGGGGATAGAGAAAAGGAAAAAAGGGGACTACAAATTTTCTGGATAGTAATAAGGAAGTTTTGCTTACCTGAGTGGGGAAAGGACCAGGCTTCCAGGTACCACGAGGAGCCAAATGGGTAATAAGGTCTATGAGTTCACTCGCGCCGTTGCCTAGCAACAAATGACCGACATACTGTTGGTAGGCTTCAGGCCAGATAAACTTGGCAAGGGAGGACTTTCCTGGCTCCTGGTTAGCCGGTGGGTAATGATCACACCTATCGATCTATATTGATGTTGTCAGATAATACAATCCAGAGTGGAGGGTTAAATCACATGGATATAGAGGGAGAATATGCAATAAAGCGATGGCGATGGTGCAACACAAAAAAGACGCTCTCTTGTCTCCTCAATGATAGAAACCCTTAGAAAGGCCATAGCGATGGTGATGATACCATCGATAAGAGATCTGGATAATGCTAAGCCGTCTTTGGAAGCTGTGATACTTACTGCCCGCTTAGCGGCCTCCTTGGCTTTCCAGGGCGTTCCAAGTGCGTTGGTGGTAACGCTATAATCTTCAATAAATTTTTCAAGGACGGTCCAATCCTGGCCAGCATGGTACTGTTGGGTCTTGGTATCCCAGACCTGTTCACCGGTGCGGCCCCCAGCTGCTGCGACGGGCTTGGTAACACCATTGGCCTGATGAACGGAATCAATATGCTGTTCTTCTTGTAGGAAGGCTTTAGTTTCGCTAGGAGCCATATTGTATAACTGGGACTGTATATATGAATATGCGTGGGTGCAAGTATATATTAATCTGAAAGTATATAAACAACTATAAAGATAAGAAAGACGAAATGCTGAGTTTATAAGCCAAGCCTTAAATGTTTTGGATTCATTTATGGATGAAATCTGCTGTCTCTCTTTCACACACAGTCAGACCTACCAAGCAAATTGCCCCCCAGAGAAATACTTGCTATTTCCAGGGGAGGCAGCAGTATTGGCGCGGTGCTGTTATTGTGAATGTGTGTATGGTGTGAATGAGTGAGGGCGAGAGTGTGTGGGTGTGCAAAAATGTGGACTTCTTTGGCCTATCCTTGGCCAATGGACTTGGGTTTGATCACACAGTCATACTTCGATGAAAATGCATAGAGCATAAAACCCCACGTTGTGAGCTGCTTGGTGTGATAGGCCCTGCTGTGTTAACAATGGGAGTAACTGTGTATGATTAAATACCAATGTGTGAACTTTGGGAATTGATCACTATAATCTGTTAGCACTTTGTAGGCTGTCTTGGTAACTTGACAAAAAATCACACAAAGCTCAGCGGGCATTCGACATGCATTTGCATTAACTATAGCTCAGGCACCAATTTTGTATGTCATATTTTTTTCTGTCACCATTTTTGTTGTTTTTGTCACCAAAATTTGGCTGTAAAATGGTATAATTATGGGTTTAGATATTTTATGCAATATTTGATATTGTATAATATAAATGTATTATAAATAGTGAAAAACAAAAGAAACAGAACATATTAAACTGGCTGATTTGCAATATGACAATTCCCTTAAAGTCTTGTAGTAAAAATTGAATAATAGTAATATACTAATGTATCTATATACTTTTTACATTATAGTTTATTAATATGGGCAATAATTTTTGAAAGGTGAAAGTTTACTAGTAAAACTGGACATCCATTTGGCTGTGATTCCCCTATAATCATTGTCCCCAAAATTCACCCTTCAAAAATTATGATCCATATATTTAAATAAATAATAAAAGCAGTTTAAAGAACTATAATATAATATATCTATAGATATAGAATTGTGTAAGATTAGTAATGCCATTTTAATGTTATCAGAGTTGAGGAGATGGCTCTATGGTGATAGTGATGAGGGCGGCAGCGGGGAATTGGTGCTAGTGGAGGGCTGGATTAAGTTTTAAAGTTGTTTTATTATAAAAAATAAAATAGTGATAAAAAACATAAAAATGGTGACAGGAAAATATAAAATGGTGCTGGGGAATATAATAGATGCTATAACAATAAATTAGGTGACAAAATAAATGGATGCCGTATAGATTATAGCAAATATAGATCAAAAAGGAACGACCACGACGAGACTTGAACTCGCAATCCTCAGATTCGAAGTCTGATGCCTTAACCATTAGGCCACGCGGCCTCATTTATAAATTTGACTTGACTTCACTCCTATCTAGTACAGAATTTGTTTGGATAGAAGAAGCTGTAGATTCACTTCCCGCCATAATAAATAAATGATACTTTATAGTTGAATATATTAAAGAATAAA